CAGACTGACAGTCCCAAACCAAATGTCTCCAAAGGTCCAACTGAGAGGCTATCTAGGACATTTTGAAAAGGATTAAGATGTCTTTTGTAAAAAAAAAATCCCATTATTTTCATGACAATTTTTTAATCTCTAGAAAATGCCTGGAGCTTTAACTGAATCTCTGTTGGAAACTTTCACATCTCTAAATCATGTGCAAAGTCTTACCAAGAACATTCTATTCTCACTGTATGGTCTTTGAAAATGAATGACCTACACAGGCTAAAAGGGCAAGTATAAATTAATATCAAACAGGAAAAATGCCATGGAAGTGACACTAACAATGAATATGACCAGAAGCAAATGGAGATAAGGTCAAATCAGGCCTAACACCACTTGAATGGCTTGGGAGCACATTAAGTGTGACGCATTATATAGAAAACAAAGATTATCCCACTGGAAAAGAAGAAACAAAAGAATATGACTTTTAAAAATAGCTACAATAGATCACAGGCCTTGGTGTAAAAGTAATAGGAAGAGCAAAGAATCTAGGGGAGAGTAGGAGGAAGAAGTTAGAAAAACAGATCAAACTGTTCTAACACTGAGCCACACGAGTGAGTTGATATTGGAGTATAAGTGATCATATGGCTGGCAACATTAAATATAAATCTGAAAACTAATCAGCACTTTACATTTACATTAACATTTCACTTGAAATCACACAACTGTCAGTATAAGAGCCAGAATGAAGGAGCTGTGGCTGAAAACTCAAGAGAGAAATAAAGTATCCTCATACGAAAAAAAAATCCTTTACAAAAGCACACTGACATTATCAGCACAGCAAAATAAAACAACGTGCCTGTCAGAAGGGAGTGTTCTCCTGACAAAATGAGAAAACACAGCTATACGGCAGGGTTCCCTAAGCCAGTGCCCTTTTAATGTTACAGACGCATGGGTAACATCACCCTACTCATCCCTGGTGGGGAGGTGGACACAGCAGTCTGTCTTAGTGGAAAGCCTTTTAAATATTCAGGTTCCAAGCTTACCAGTGGCTGTTGGGCTGTAATTCACTAACCCAAGCAATAGGCAGAAATGAATGTGCTTTCCAGTTACTGATGCTGACTTTATTTTAAATAACTAAACTATCATTATTCTACTAAACAACAGTATCATGAATTTGGATAAGGAGAAATCATCCCTGTGAGACAGATTTTCTTCCATGACCTGAACACATGGCATTTCTGAGTCTATTACAACCAAAAATAAGGCCCTGGATCCCACATCCAGTAAATTCACCAAAACAGTAAATGCCACCTCGGGAGGTACAGGAGAAGGTATCCTGTGTGGTGACTAATTGTTCTTCCCAAATGACAGTCTCCTGCACTGAGCACCTTCCTGCTTTAAATTTAACAGGCACCAAGTCAAAATGCAAGCATGAGTGCATGCCCAGCACTCTTGTGTGCTATAATTGGAAGGCAACTGGGAAGGAGTCAGGGGTTAAGCAGAATCTTCTTTTAATTTCTTAGTTTAGGAGAATAAAGACAGACAAACATTCAGAAGCAATTATCTCCTACCTGAATTATTGCAGCTGCAGCCCAATAGAGAAACTACTGTGCATCTCTGGATTATGCATATTCATCAAGTTAATTAGACACCATAAGTTTGAAAACAGACTTCCTGCTATGTTCACAGAAACACAAATAATTCATACCATATGCATATAATAGTAAAGTAAGAACTTGAGAGATATTACATAAAAAGACAACAATATTTTTAATATAAATGTCACATCTGATTCATGGAAAAGCATTTCCTTAGAGAGGTGACAAACTAATGGTTACATGAAAAACACACAAAGACTTTGAAGAGTCTGCAAAGCAAACAGTGACGAGTAATATTTACAGGTATACCAAACTTTGCTTCAAAGAGGTAACAAGCAGTGGCATTATTTACAACACTGGCTGCAATTCCATCTTTCTAGCCCCTGATTAAATGTTGACCATTTCCTTCTGAAAATGTTTCAGTGTTTATATTCTTTACAGCCTGGATTAAAGTTTTTTTCTATCCTATTTACAAAAATCATCTTAGACCTTTTCAACATCCTTTCAATCATTCTTAAAACAACTATAACTTATGGATGAAATGATGTGATGCCTGGGAGCAATCGAGGTAGGAAGATGAAAAATGACTGACCATGGGTTAATAATAATTGGAGTTGGGGAAAAGGCACCATTGAGTGTATCACATTTGAAATTTCCCATAATGAAAAATTATAAAAACAAAAGTTTCATTATGGTCATTCTATGACCCTTATGACAAAAATTTTCTGTTAGTAAGCATATAAACTAAATTAAAGTTAGAAGAAATTATAAGCTGAAAATGGCAGAATAGATAGGGAGCTTATTGCTCTAGTCTGGGGGAAAATAGTTTAAAAAAAAGTGGAGCGAGTGCAATCTCAGGGAAGAGTTAGGGGGAAAAGTGAAGTGGAAATTCCATGCAAGTTAGAAGGACGCTGTGGATCTACATGGAGGGTCTGGATGCGCACCACAGACACGAACACAACACAGGACCCCAGCAACAGAATGGAAGAAATTATTTACAAACTATGCAACTGATAAAGGATTAATATCCAGAATTTATAAAGAGCTCAAGAAACTCAACAACAACAAAACAAACAATCCAGTTAGTAAATGGGCAAAGGACATACGGGCATTTTTCAAAAGAGGAGATCCAAATAGCCAACAGACATGCACAAATGCTCAGGATTACTAGCCATAATCAGAATGCAAATCAAAACCACAATCTAGTTTCACCTCACCCCCATCAGAATGACTTCCATAAAAATATCAACAAACAACAAATGCTGGTGAGGATATGGAGAAAAAGGTACCCTAATCCACTGTTGGTGAGAATGTAAACTGGTGCAGCCACTGTGAAAGACAGTATGGAGATACCTCAGAAATCTGAATATAGACCTACCATATTATGCAGTCATCCCACTCCTAGTAATTTACCCAAAGGAAATAAAATCAGCATATGAAAGAGTTAACTGTATCCTCATGTTTACTGCAGCTCAATTCACAGTGGCTGAGATATGGAATCAACCCAAAGGCCCATAAACTGATGACTTGATAAAGAAATTATGGAGTATGTACACCATGGAATACTATACAGTGGGAAAAAATGAAATCCTGTCATTTAAAACAAAATGAATGCAACTGGAAAACCTTTACTTAGTGAAATAAGCCAGTTCCAAGAAGATAAATATCATGTGTTCTTGATCTGTGGTAACTATGGAACACCTAAAAGGTAATCTATGGAAGTGAAATTGACACTTCAAAAAAGATGTGATGACTTTGAACAGCCCTTGTCTTGACTGTTGAAGTACAGGGTTTTTTTTTTTTTTATACTATTTGTTGAACTCTGTACTTAGGGTAGGATTAATCTTATGTGTATAAAGTTAACTGAAAATAGATCTTAGCAAAAAATAAGAATGGGAATAGGAGAGGGAGGAGGAAGAAGGGTGAGAGTGCAGGTGGGAGGGAGAGTAGAGTGGGAAGAATCACTATGTTCCTAAATTTATATTTATGAGATGCATGAAGTTGTATACCTTAAATAAAAGGTTTCTGGGAAAAAAGGAAGTAATTATATGCTCATTGGTTCACATATAATTTAAATCTAATCCACAATTTTAAATAGCATATTGGGGTACCTTCCCTATAGAAATGTAAAATGAGGTCAGGCTCTTTTCTAAACACTGTCACTTAGATTATCAAATCAAAAATATCAACCTCTATTTAGGTTACTGTAGTTACTCTAATGTAGCATGAACTGTAACTATAACACCACTGTAAACAAGGTAAAAAGAGAATTGTAATGAGTGACAAAAATTGTACTGCTATAAAAGAAAATACCAAATTTTTCCTGACATTAGGTTCTAAGTTCTAAGAAAACTTCTAACATTTTTTAATTATACAAAGGACACGATGTAGCATAATGGATAAATATTTAATTCAACTTGACAAATGAATTGCTATGCATATGGTCAGTCCTTGAGTCAGTCCTTGCTAAACATCAAAGGATTTTGACTCTAGGCTTGGTGAAGATAAAGTGACTGTAGGATTCAGATATGTAAATCTTTGACAGAAACTATCAGGTTAAAATCACAGATACCTTATGTAAGTGGAAAGCATACCCTTGTTTGATGAATAGACTTTTCTTAACAGGTCTTTGGCAGCGGCCTACTATACATCAACTCAGAATTACACTTTCTAGTGATAATTTTTATCATGAATTATAGGAAAGTTCAGATGCTTCAGAGTTAGGCCTGCAGTCTAGATAATCTTCAAGTTACATATACATAATTTTATGTACTTACATATATATTATATTTCCATGGTAACTAACATGAAAAGGGCACAAGTACTAGGGGTCAGGAAGTATAAGTTCCAGTTATATCTGTTCTATTTTATGTAGTCCTGAGAAGGTAACTACCTTTTCTGAGTCTTGTTTTTCTTAAAAAAAAAAAAGAGTAGAAAAGAAATAACCGGCCAGCACCGCGGCTCACTAGGCTAATCCTCCACCTTGCAGCGCTGGCACACCGGGTTCTAGTCCCGGTCGGGGCGCCGGATTCTGTCCCGGTTGCCCCTCTTCCAGGCCAGCTCTCTGCTGTGGCCAGGGAGTACAGTGGAGGATGGCCCAAGTACTTGGGCCCTGCACCCCATGGGAGACCAGGAGAAGCACCTGGCTTCTGCCATCGGATCAGCGCGGTGCGCTGGCCACAGCGCGCCGGCTGCGGCGGCCGTTGGCAAAGGAGGACCTTTCTGTCTCTCTCTCTCACTGTCCACTCTGCCTGTCAAAAAAAAAAAAAACAAAAAAAACAAAAAACAAAAAAAACAAACAAACAAAAAAACACTAGGTTATTCAACTAAAGTTTCAGTGACCTTGAGACACTTGTGTATTCCTGTAATCTGTATGAAGGTGAATAAATCTCGATATCATTTAGTCTGCAGAGTTTATCTCACCAGAATTACATCTGGATCGTTGTTGCTGGTTTCAACTTCCGTCAGCACTTTACATTTCTTTACAAAGTTTAGTCGCTGCTTCCTTTTCATTCCCCATGAAGAGGCCTGTAACAAGGTATTAACAAGAAATGCACAGGGATCAGTAGTAATCAACATTAAACCACCTTTACTCTTTACTTTATTCAGCCCCTATTAACTGCACACTTCCATAGGGTATAGTGAAAATCCAATTTCTGATCTTTGCTCTTATGAAGTATATGACTAAGATCAACACATGGAAAGTTAAATAACAATGCTCGGCAATAAAAAGGAACATCATCTTTTTATATTAGGGAAAATGTAAATAAAAGGAAAAAAATAATAAAAAGTAAACAAACCTTTTAAAATAAGAGAACACCCAAAAAGAAAAAAAGAAAGTAAATCGCAAAGTAAATTAAGTACGAATGAGCGGTAAACACTATGATGTGCAATACGGAATCAAAAGGCCTGCAGGATGGTGGTCCCTTCCCTTATCTGCTCTTTCATTTTCCAGTTTCAGAGTCCCACATTCCAAAAATATTAACTAGAAAATTCTAGGATTATACTGTCTCAATTTTCAAATTGTGTGCCATTCTGAATAGCATGATGAAACACTGTGTCCTACTGCTCCATCTACCCAGGATATGAGTCGGCCCTTATCCACTCTGTCGATGCTGTATACAGCACACACTCGTTAGTCACTTAGCAGCCATCTCAGTTATCAGACTGACTGTTGTGGTTTCACAGTGACTGAACACACAATTTGGCACTATCTGTGACTTCAGATATCCATGGCAGTCTTGGAAGGTTTTCCCTGTGGAGAACATGGAAATCACAGCTTTTGCAGATTCTGAATGAATTATTGTCCAAAGAGTCAATAAATAATGTCTCATATGGATAGGAACATTGTTCTTCAAACTTAAGTAGACATTGCCAAGGAGAAATTACAAATCATCTAAGAGATTTTTCTTACTATATGGTTATTAATCAATAGACACCAGACATACATTAGATTGAGATGTGTGCTGTGTGGTTTTGAAAACATGGTCTCATACTTGAAAAGGTGGGAAGACACAAGAATGGGAAATCTATGATACAGGAATGGGTTTCCATTAATTGAAGTGGCTAGGAGTAGATTCTTAGCTTTCTGGGGACAAGGGCAATGCCATCTTAACGGTTGGGCCTCAGCACCTAACCCAGAGTAAACACTTAACACGTTTGTTGAGTGAAATGAATTAATAAAGGATGTTAATGTAAAATGCAAAGAGTCACAGAGGCAGAAATACAAATCAAAAACTATGTTGTTATTATGGGGAGCACTATTTTCAGGAAATAATGGAAGAAGTTGTCTAAGATAACTGTGACCTAGCAGGTAAAGCTTCCGCCTGCAGTGCCAGCATCCCATATGGGCACCAGTTCGAGTCCCGGCTGCTCCACTTCTGATCCAGCTCTCTGCTATGGCCTGGGAAAGCTGTGGAAGATGGCCCAAGTTCTTGCGCCGTGCACCCGCATGGAAGACCTGGAGGAAGCTCTGGACTCCAGGCTTTGGATTAGCCCAGCTCCAGCCATTGCATTCATCTGGGGAATGAACCAGCAGATGGAAGACCTCTCTCTCTTTCTCTACCTCTACCTCTCTGTAACTCTGCCTTCCAAATATGTAAATAAATCTTAAAAAAAAAAAAAATATGGGGCCAGCGCTGTGGCGCAGCAGGTTAACGCCCTGGCCTGAAGTGCCGGCATCCCATATGGGTGCCGGTTCTAGTTCCAGCTGCTCCACTTCTGATCCAGCTCTCTGCTATGGCCTGGGAAAGCAGTCCAAGATGGCTCAAGTCCTTGGGCCCCTGCACCTGCGTGGGAGACCCGGAAGAGGTTCCTGGCTCCTGGCTTCGGATCGGCACAGCTCCAGCTGTTGCGGCCACCTGGAGAGTGAACCATAGGATGGAAGACCACTCTATCTCTGCCTCTCCTCTCTCTGCATAACTCTTTCAAATAAATAAATAAATCTAAAAAAAAAAGACAAGTTAACTGAACACTTCTAAAAAAGCCGGGGGCATGATAAAAACAATTCTCTAAGAACAGTCACCTATTTAGTTACTTGTCTTCATATTGCAAAACTGTGGTACATACAAGTGTAAGCTAAAATATTAACTAATTCCAAAGCCATTTTACCAAGCTTTTGAAATGCATGATCAGATTTACTCAGAGCATATCTACCTACCTAATTCCATGCTGCTTAGCCTAATATTAAAAGAAATTACATTTACTGTATCTTCTCTGCCAGGTAAGGAAAAACATGGTGTTTTTTTAATGGGATGGAGATTAGACATTTACTGCAAAGAATCTTCAAATATCAAAATTTCTTTCAGGTACAGACTAAAATCTGATTAAATTCATTTTTAAGGGTTTATAAACAGTTTCACTGCCTCCTGATTTATCCACCTAATTTTTAGATTTTCTTCAATACAGAATGTCCTCTGAAGTGAAATTAGCTTACTTCTCCAAGGGTTGATATGCAACATGTATCCATTTCTTCATCATCTACTTGCTAATCAATCCATTCTAGCCTTGTTTCTACCATATTTACTCAAACGACAAGTTACTCCTGAAATCATCCTACTCACTGTTAAGTCATTAAGCCAATGGACACCTTTTAAGTATTGGGCCAGCTGAGTTGGCCTTTCAGCAGAAGTCAGCCCTATTCACCACCTCTCCTTGAATCATCTTTTTTCCCTTTTGGCTTTAAAGATAAGACAAATTCCTGGTTTCTCCTATTACTGCTCAGGTGATTTCCTCACAATCATCTGTGCACACTTATACTCCAACTGAGGTCCCCCAAATTCCTCAACTCTGTGTAGTCCTTCTTTACTTCTTACCCTTCAACCTTTCTCACCCAGACATTCAAATACTTCACAAGCTTGCATCCCATACTTAAACCTCACTTCCAAAGTCTAGACACTATCTCACTTCTTATCTGCCTTGTCCTTTTAGAAGTCTCAAACTATGTAAGCTGAACTCATGCTCCTCTCCACAACTCCAGTTACCTCCAAGGTAACTGCTTTAATGTATAGAATCATCATCCAGTCAGGTGAAAATTCTGGAAATTCTACAATAATTCTTCCCACTTCTCTCTGCTTTGCCTTCCATATACAATACAGTATCAAAGTAGGGCACTGTAGCCTTCTCCACCAGCAACAACTTAGCCCACATTAGCAAGACTTTTCAATTAGACCACTACATCATCTGCCTAGCTAGCCCTCATCCACTCTTGTGATGCGTAACTGGTAAGAAATGACATGCACCAGTTATCAATGCCAGGGAAGAGCCGTAAATAATTCTTGCACAATATCTTCATATTAGTGTTGTCAAAAATACTACAATGCAGTCAAGCATTGGGGGGAATAATGCTTTCCTTACACAGAAAAGAGACAGTGCAAGATCAGTTTCAGTAGTGTCCATCTACCCTTTATGTCCATCAGGTCCTCCTGGAAGCCAAAACAGAACAACTGGCTATGCGTGCTCCTTGTATGCTATAGTAGAGGTACCCTATCACTTCCACAAGTAGAACAGATACAGTGGTAGGGTCAACCAGGTGTCATGTGAAGCACATACTTCAGAAGAACAAAGAAGCATGCATGTAGCTTACGGCAGAGAAAGATATTCCCAAATGAGGCAATCAGCCCAACACAGGACCTGTAGGCTTTTTATCTCTTGGTAAGGAAGTGTCCCAGGCCCAGGGTCTGTTCTAACATAGCCAAGAGGCATGAAACTGATTTTCCCAACAATTCTACTCTCTGCTACTTTTCTTTCTTAGTTGGTCAAAAGCAATTCTTTATAAAAGAAAGCTTGGTTATGTCATTTTCTTGCTTGGTACTATTTTATTTATTTTTAAAATTGATACCTAAAATTTCTACATTTTATGGAGCGTAGTGTGACATCTCTATACATTTATACAATGTGAGAAAAATCAAACCAGAAGAACTGTGATTTCCAAAATCGCAAACATTCTCATTTCTTTGTGTTGGGCACACTGAAAATCTTCTCTACTAGCACCTGAAATATATAGTAACTTACTGCTATTGTCACGTCACTATACTATAGAACATTAGACCATCTGTCCAATGTGAAGTAATGCTGTAACTAGTACCCAAACAGTATTTTACACTTTATGTTCTGTGTGGGTGCAAACTGATGAAATCTTTACTTAATATATACTAAATAGATCTTCTGTATGTAAAGATAATTGAAAATGAATCTTGATGTGAATGGAATGGGAGAGGGAGCAGGAGATGGGCGGGGTGCAGGTGGGAGGGAAGTTATGGGGGGGAAGCCATTGTAATCCATAAACTGTACTTTGGAAATTTATATTTACTAAATAAAAGTTTAAAAAAAAGAACATTAGAACATCTACAAAACTGCAATTTTGTACACATTAACTAATCATTTTCACCTCTGGTCTTCTCCCCTCCACCACACACACACCTTTCCTAGTTGTTGTAACCACTATTCTACTCCTTACTGTAGAATATCAATCCTTCTCTAAGGGTTGATATGCACATGTATCCATTTCTCTCTTTATACACATATTTTGTATATATACCACAGATTCCTTATCTATTTATTCCTTATTTTTCCTTATCTATTTATTCGTTCACCCACTGACGGACACTTAGATTGATTCCCTGTACTATTGTGAATAATGCTGCATAAAAACATGAGAGTGCAGATATGTCTTCCACATGTGATTGCATTTCCCTTGCTTGCAACTTCAATGGCTTCCCGTTGGAATTAGCATAAATATAAAACCTCCTAATCAAGTACTATCTTACCTGAATGGTCCTGTCACTCTCTATTCATCTCAAAGCACATCCTCTTTCCATCTCTCTGTCCTTCTAGAGCTTAGCTGTCATCTTGAAATACGAGGTATCACCATGCTCTCTTATGAGCAAACACACTTTGCATGGACTGGAACTGCTCTTCCTCTCCTTTTGCCAATCTAATTGGAATTCAATCCTAAGAGGTTACTCACTACTTTTTCTGGGAAGATGTCCCACCAGATAGAGTCAAAACCTCTATTATAAGTACCTACCCTTGCTACTGTGTCATAAAAACTGTCACAGTGCTTGTTCCCATCTGTTTGTACAGTTTTTGTATTGTCTGTCTCCATCACAAGACTTCAAGTTTGATGGGGGCAGGAACCATAAGTAGTTTGTTCACTACTGAATGAATCCTCTGTAGCTGAAATACTAAATAGTACATTTTAAGAAAATACATAATCAAACACACACACACATACACACACACACGGGGTCTTCAAAAGTTAGCAGAAAAATGCATGTTATTTAAGAATGCGTAAATTTCAAAAACTGTTTTGCACCAAAATAAACTTAATCTTTTAATTTGATTTTTCTCACAAACTGTCTGGAGTATCCTTGTATACTTTTTTATGTAAAGCTACATGAAGTGAATATACACTGTTAATTCATAGCTTCAGAAGTCCATAAAAGATACACATTATCTATTTAAAAAATTTATTGATTTTACTTATTTGAAAAGCAGAGAGAGAGAGAGAAAGAGAGAGAGAGATGGAAAGTGAGATTTCCCATGCCATGATTCACTCCATCCAGGTCTCCAATGGGGATGGCAAGGACCCAAGTACTGGTACCATCATGTTTCAACCAGCTCCCAGGAAGCTGAAATCGGGAATATACCCAGGACTTGAACCCAAGGACTCTGATATAAAACGCAGCCATATCAATTGGCATCTTAACCACTATGCTAAATTCCGGCCCACATTATCTTTTAATTCAATTTTTCCATGAACCTCTGAAACACCTTCATATTTGTATAGTTTTACAGATAGTATACATGCTAGTCTAAATAAATTCCTATATTTAGAGTCTAATGTCTTGTAACACTTGGGCAAACTCTCAATTCCTCACTCAAATTATGTTTTTAGAGCATGCAAGATATTTACAAAATAAATTTAAAAATTTCAAAGCTTGAAATTGCACTGCTAATGAGTTTTTAAGGAAATCAGTATTAAAGGAACTATGATGAAAAAAGTGATAAAAATACTTTGTATTACAAACATGAAGCACTTTGATTACAGCAAGGTTTGAATAAATATTTTCAGAATAGATAAACCCATAGATTTAACTATTATTTATAATGCAAGGCAAAAGAAAAATTTAAATTCTGTAGATTGTAGATAGATTCACCATGGTTCACGTGTCAGGAAAATATTTAAGGCAAAAATTTCAAAATCGTAGAGAAATAGATTTCACATATTTTAAAAGCTACTCAAAAATGATTGTCTGAGGAAGTAAACATTTTCACTAAAGATTTTCCTAAAGAGTCTGTGTACCATTTTCCAAAGGTTTTACAAATGAATGTGTGAATTTTATAATGTAACTATTGTTCAAAATCCTTCTGAAAGAATCATTCCTATGATATCTTGTGCCCACCATGCCTAAGACAGTGTTTTAACCCAGGGTGGAAATTTGGTAGATACTGCTCATCAAATGAGTTTAGAATTTGACAGCTCATCTGAATATATATATTTTAATTTTATGCATTCATTTGAAAGGCAGAGTGACAGAGAAAGAGAGCACTAAGAGATGCTGAGGGGGAGAGAGAGAGAGAGAGAGAGAGAGAGACAGAGAGAGAGAAAGAGAGAGAGAGAGAGAGAGAGTTCTTTCATTTTCTGGTTCACTCCCCAAATGTTCGCAAAAGCCAGGGCTGTGCCAGGGTTAACGCAGGAGTCTGGAACTTCATCTGCATCTCCCCTGTGGGTGGCATGAACTCGGGTACCTGCTGCCTCCCAGGATGTGCCTTAGCAGGAAGCTGGATCAAAGTGGAGTAGCTGGAATTCAAACCAGGCACTCGAATTTGTGATGTTGGCATCCCAAGTAGAGATTTTACTGGTGCACCATAGTGTCTACCTCTTGAGTATTTTTGCTGGTGGCACATATTACCCTCCAAGGGTGAATTCAATTTGCAAAAAGACATTAGAAGTAAAACTAGATAATCAAGGTAGATAAAATAGTTTATATATTTATATATATGCTTATGAAGATGTAAAATGGAAATAAGTGAGATAGTCTATAACCACTCAGTACTCAATATGGCACATAAAAGTGTCCATTCAGATGGAAGCATTGTTATTATTATTATAAACTAAATGTGGAGGAAAATTCTGAAAAGGAATCAGGTAATGGTAAAACTGTAATAATGAACTTGGTGTGATCCTTTTGAAAGAAACAAACTCATGAACACACAGAAATTCTAGGGTGCTACATTTGTTAATCATTGTCAGCATCTCATTGTATATTGACCTTATACCCCATTTTCCAGAACATAATCACACGGGAAACAATCTGTGCATAACTTGGCTAAGCATTTTTCCTATAAAGTGCTGAATGCCAAATCCTAAAGATTAAGGGTTTATCCTATCTGAATACTTCTCTCTTAAATGTAAATTTGAAATTGTTTCCCATCCAGGCATTCTTCAGGGGTCCTTCAAATGGCTGATCTTTCAGGACACTGTGCTGATATTAGCAATCTACATTTTCTTCCAAAATAGAGAATATAGGAAAAACTAATAGAAATTGGGTCCTTGTCCAGGAAACAGATTGCAATGTATAGTCTATAATTACAGTGCTTTAAAAATGTGGAAATGAAGCAAAACCTTTACCAAGTGCTATTTCTGGAAAAAGTGAATTATTATACACCTTGTGAGTAAGAATGAAAACAATACCTGGAACGTCTCAGGTAGCCTGACACCTCCTGACAGGGCCGCTGCACGTCTCATTCTCTTCTGCATTGACTTTTTCCCAATTTTAGTCTCTGAAACGTACTCTACATCAGAGTCTGTCTCTTCTGGGAGTCTTTTTTGGCTTCTATAGCTGTCTGAAAGCTCAACGGATGAAAGAGGCTCATGCTTCAAGTCGTCACCTGAAGGCCTGATTTTCTGACTTCTGACATTTTCCTTAAATAACAACAAAAAAAAAGTGTTTTTGGCAACCTGCTTATTTATAATTACCTGCCATTTCCCTCATAACCTTCCCACACTGGGTGATACTTCTTAGTACTAACAAAAATTGTAAAGATCAGAAGCTTAGAAAATCAGCTTTAGCAAATGTAGCCTGCTGTACGGGCTCGTTAAGAATTTGATTCAGAAATCACTGCCGAGCTCTGTTGAATCAACAGGTCTGATTTTGAAGGAAACAGAAGACCCTAAATTTAGAACATCTTGTGCATCCTGACTTGCTCCCAGCACAGTGCATTTGCCTCTGGCTCCCTGGTGCACACAAGGTCAGTCTCCATCCCTACCCCCACCCTACAACCTGCTTCCTGGCCCTTGCTCATTGCTATTTCTTCATCCACTGAAGCACATCCTTGCTGATGGACCTAGAATATTGTGCCTGTTTGCTATGTATGAGGCAAAAATGAACCATTAGAAGGAGAGGCATTTATGGATCAGCAGCAGTGACACTTGCATTCCTATGGATATTATTATCTACATAGTCCTCACTGGCATCCATCAGCTCTCTCCCTCACAGTGAGGGCACAAAGAAACTGTCTGGCTTCCATTTTCCTTCACATAAATGACCATCATTAAGAAAAGTTCACTACAATTGAATATACTAGTTTGTGCTTATCTAGATGAAATCTTCAAGGCACTGGATTATATAGTTGTTACAGCAGGCTTGTAACAACACATTTACCATCAATTTCCCAGAGCAAGTTCCTTGCAAATGATTTTTACTTCTCTCCATTCCAAAAGAATCCCTTTCCTCATCTGTTTGACTCAAGTGATAACTTGTAACAAATAAAATGTGGGGATTCTGAGTATGGTTCTGCCATTCAGCCAGGTAGTGATCTCAGGTAAAAGTAGTATGAAAGGAGGGATTTAAGTGTCAAGACTATACCACTTTCAAATTATTTGGGGGTTCATGGATCCCTGACACCTTAATCTAGCAGCAGAAGATGAAAATCAAGGAAACATAAACTAAAAAGATACTTTGGACACAACAGTTCCTACATCCAACATGAACAGTGAGGAAATGCCAACAATCTGCAATATATTATATACATCTATCATGTATTTATCTAGTGGTTGACTGGTGTTTACCAGTCCTACATTCTGTTAGAAAGTATAAGTAAAATGATAGTTTTCCAAATGCTTGTGTGTGACTGATGTGACTGAGAAGCTCTTAATGTTCACAAATGCTGCTTTTTAAAGAAGTCTGAAAAGTTCAAAAGTGTTCCCCTCTAAATCCTAAATTTTAGAAAACACTGACATTATGCAATATGACATCTAACAAACATAATAAGAAATAGAAATATTCTGTGTACATACAATTTCTTTTCTATATTATTTTTGTGTTTTCTGGAAAGAATATATTAAAATATCTTAAATGGCCATCATGTCCAGGCAGTAAAATAATGCTTAATTCAGATTTTATTTTATTATGTATTTTATTTTCTATGTTTTCCCTAAGAAATATATATCACTCTATTAAGAAAACAAAAATGTTAGTAAAAATCTATTAGTGTTTCACTTTCCGAACCTCATAAACCATAACATCTGGCATTTAATAGGACCTATCCCGCAGGTGGGAAATATGACACAAATGGATCAATCCTACTTTACTCACCTTAGGTGCTGAAGTGGGGCAGGTGGAAATGAACTCAGAGATCCTACTTGTTGGTATAAATTGAGGCTTTTATGAAGGAAAAAAACAATGAAGGCAAGCGTAAATAGAATAGCTTTCAGTCAGCACATTACAGTAATCCAGCAGTCTTTATTTCCTAGAGAAGTTAAGGCAGCACGCTCTCGCCTGTGACTGCCTTAGAAGTCCCTTTAGTTTAGACATGCTGTGTGATGTCTTGCTTAGCAGTGATTAGATAGTACAAGAGAGCCCAAAGGCTTGGTGAAGTACTGCAGGTCAAGTCTTATGACTACTCCAGGATGACACCACGTCAAACCCTGTCAGGGTTCCAGATCCCCCAGCCCTAGTCCCCTTCTCTTGCCAGAAACTCTGCAGAGCCCAGGGTCTGGAATGAATCCTGATCTTAGGCAGCAGTTCTCTCTGGTTTAGAGTTCTGGGCATGAGCTTCAGTGGACTTGTGAGGGTAAACTGGCCCCAACTCTGTCCCTAAAACCTAAGATGATGCCTTATCACCAACATCTAATTGCTGCCTTGTACTGAGAAATGCAGCTAGGGAAAGGGGAGCAGTGGCTCTCTGAAAAAGAAGCACCTTTTAAGCTAGTATTTTGACGTGATCATATGTTAAAATAATCAAATGTTAATGAAATACAAGCATAATAGAGAGCAGTGTAGGCTCTGCACTCTGGGCAAAGGTTCATTCCCTTTGGGGTGAAATCCTGCCTAGGTGTGTGTGTGCACCTCCTTTACAGTGCACACTCACACACACACAAACACACACACACACGCCATCCTTTCCTGTGTCACAGACTATCATGGCATCTGGTGGGAGCGAAATTTGACCTTGCTCTCATAATTATTCTACCCCATAATCTGAAGTCTCGGCTTTCAAAAGGTTTGGTTCCAGTCTTCGCGGAAGCATTTTTTTTTCCTGTGGATTGCCTATGCAGGTGTCTTTTCCTCTGTCCTGAAATCCTGGTCTTTCATTAACTGTAGGTATCGTCACTGAAACTCCTCCAAAACCAAACTCACTATTTCATCTCTGCATCTGTACCTGCCCTAACCAGCGCCTCCCATTGTAATCCCTCTCTTGATTAATGGCATCGCCAAGCACCCAGACATACAAACTAGAAGCCTCAATTATACTTAGCTCACCAACATGCTCAGCCCCACACATCTAACCAGGGATCCAGTCCTGTGGATTTCTCAAATTAAAACACTTGTAAATTCAAAACTATTCCCTCATAAGTAGCCTCCATTCACCTCTCTGTTTAAAGGTTTTTGTCATCTCTTGCTTTAACTACTTTCTATAATCTTTCTTACTTCTTGTTCAACAATTTCCCTACATCTATGTCACAACCACTTGCCACACTATATTATTCCTTTTGCTAAAGTAAGGTGGAGGGGTGATGAGAAGAGAGGGTAGTAGAGGAAGTTAATAAGTCTGTTAGGAATGATTAATGCCAAGTTCATAATTAAAATTTAATTGTGTGGAGTGGGGTTTGGTGTCACTATTTTCTGATGTTCTCCAAGTGATTCTAATACAGCTATAATTGACAACTAACCTAGAAGGGAGAACTTCATTTCTGTAGCCCCTAGAACATGAAATGGCACATAAATATTCAAGTTTATTGAATGGAACCTGACAGCACCTAGGATGACAAACAACTTGCTTCCAGTGGTTACACCCGAGCTTTCTAAATGCTTCTTCTGAGCCGTTTCCCATCCTTCTGTCATCTTCCGCTGCCTCCACTAACCTCATATACTCAATGTCCAATCACGTTTACTACTCCTCAGGTTTACTTTAATGTTACCAGGCCATCACATAACCCAATTCTTGTCCTGAAATGATCTTTCCAATCTGTCAAATCAGTCAAATTCTACTCATCCTTCATGTCTCAGTTTAAATATTGTCCACTCCAAATATCTCCTCTAATTCCCCAAAGAAGAATTAGTTACTTTATCATATGCTCCTAAGGCACCTCTTTTGAGAAGATGTATAGATACTACATTCACATGCAACAATGTACATTTTTGAGGTGCTGTGATTTTTCTTCTAGTTAACATACTTTCTATTTCCATTTGATGCAAAACACTTGAAGACGTGGCTGCTTTTTCTTCTTTAATTTTTTTATAATTTTAATTTTTAATTAGTTTAACAGATTCAATGTGAATATATATATATAATTCTAAGAACACAATGATATTCTCTTCCTCCCTGCCTCCCTGCCTCATCCTCTGTCTTTGCTATCCTCTTTTTTTTCTCATTTTCTCTTTGTTAGTTTTGGAGATAACATATTTTAAAATTACATTACAGTAAAAAGGCTTAATACTTCACCAAATAAGAGGTTTAACCAGTAAAATGAAAAAAAAACCTAGTTTAGTGAGAATATAGACAATGACTGTAAACAATAATCAAATAGAAAAATGTTCAACTTACACATGTATAGTAAATTTTAAAGCAGTCACAGATCATTAAAACTATAGCAGTGTAACATTTTTAACCACTGGTTTGACCAAGACATAAAACAAAGTTCAACAAAACTATTTTTGCAGCAATTCTGATACACACAGACATGTATTTCTCTTTTTCTTTTTTGTTTGGTTTTTAAATTTTAGCTCCCAGACATATGGGAGAACATGTGGTATTTATCTTTCTGGGTCCAGCTTATTTCACTCAACATCATGACCTCCAGTTGTGTCCACTTTGCTTCACAGTAGAATCCCATTCCTTTTTAAAGCTAAATAATATTTCATTGAGCATACATGTCACATTTTCTTTATCCATTTATCTGATGATAGACACGTTGGTTGATTCCAAATTTTGGCTATTGTGAACAGCACTGCTATAAACACTGTGGTGCAGATATTTCTTTGATACATTGTGTTCAAGTCTTTTGGGTATTTACCCAGTAGTGAGAGTGCTGGATCACATAGCAAGTCTACTTCCAATTTTCTAAGTAATCTCCACACTATTTTCTACAGTGGGTGCACTAATTTACATTCCCACTTGCCAGTGTTTGTTTCTCTCTCTGTTTTGGACTTGAGCCATTCTGACACTGGTGAGGTGACATCTCATTGTGGTTTTGATTTGCATTTCCCTGATGGCTAGTAATGGTGAGCATCTTTTTATATATTTGTTGGCCATTTGTATTTTCTCCTTTTGAGAACTGTCCATTGATATCCTTTGCCTATTTCTTAACTGGATTGGTTGGTTTTTGTTGTTGAGTGTTTTTTCTTTTCCAAAGATTTATTCATTTACTTGAAAGTCAGAGTTACAAAGAGGCATATGCAGAGAGAGAAAGAAACGTCTTCCATCCACTGGTTCATTCCCCAAATAACTGCAATGGCCAGAGCTGGGCTGATCCAATGCCAGGAGCCAGGAGATTCTTCTAGGTCTCTCACATGGGTGCAAGGGCCCAAAGACTTGGGCCATCTTCTACTGCTTTCCCAGGTCATAGCAGAGAGCTGGATCAGAAGTGGAGCAGCCAGACTCGAACTGCCGCCCAAATGGGATGCCGGCATTACAGGTAGCAGCTTTACCCAATACACCATAGCACTGGCCCCTGTTTGAGTTTTTGAAGTTGCTTATATATTTGGGACACTAATCCTTTGGCAGATAGATAGTTTGAAAATATTTTTCCCATTCTGACAGATGTCTCTCCACTCTATTGCTCATTTCCTGTTCCGTGCTAAAGCTTCTGAGTTTGATATAGCCCCATTTTTTAGTTTTGCTTTTGTTGCCTGTGCTTTGGGGGTCTTGTCTAAGTTGTCCCCTGTGCCAATGTATTAAAGTGTTTCCCCTACATTTTTTTTAGCAACTTCATAGTTTCAGTTCTTAAATTTAGATCACTGATTCAATGGAGGGGAAAAGGAAGGAGGGGGAGAAGAAGAAAGGGAAAACTGAAAATAGTGTTTGAGATTTACAGGACACTATCAGATGATTAAAAAAATGTCTAAGGAGTTCCTGAAGGTGTGTAAAGAGAGAATGGATGAAAAGATCTACTCAGCAAATAATGGAAGAATACTTCCCTAATTTGGAGAAAGAAAGGGACATCCAAGTACACTGCACATAGAACTCCTAACAGACATGATCAGAAAAGATCTTCACCATAACACATTGTAGTCAAATTTTCAACAGTGAAACATAAAGATCCTAAAATATGCACGAGAGAAATGCCACATTACCATCACAGGATCCCCAGTTAGTCTAACAGCTGATTTCTCATAAGTGACCCTATAGGCTGGGACAGAATGCAGAGACATAGTTCAAGTCCTAAAAGAATGAAATGTCAACAAATAATACTGTATCTTGCAAAGCTCACATTTATAAATGAAGGTGAAATAAAGACATTCCATAGCAGACAGACACTGCAAGAATTTGTCACCCTTCATCTAGCCTTCCAAATGATTCTTAAGGCTGTGCTACCTACAGAAACACAGATAGTCATCATTATGAAATAATGTGAAGGCATAAAATCTCCCAGTATAAGAACAAAGGAAATCCAAAGAAAACAACATGAACATTTATGGAAATGGTAATAAAATGATACCTATCAATAGTCACCTAGAATGTAAATGGCTTAAATACTCCAATAGGGTGCCAATGCTCTGGCATGGCAGGTTAGTCCAACTCCTGCAGCACTGGCATCCCAAATGGGCTGGTTCAAGTCCTAGCTGCTCCACTTCCAATTCAGCTCCCTCACAATGGGCCTGGGAAAGCAGCAGAGGATGGCCCAAGTGCTTGGACCCCTGCACCCATGTGGGAGACCCAGATGAAGTTCCTGGCTCCTGGCTACAGTCTTGCCCACTCTGGGGTGTTGCAGCTATTTGGGAAGTGAACCAGCAGATGAAAGACATCTCTCTGCCTCAGCTTCTCCTTCTCTGAAACTCTGCCTTTAAAATAAATAAATAAACCTTTTTTAAAATTCTCCAATTAAAAGATACAACTAGTTTATGGATTAAAAAACATGACCCATATATATGCTGTCTACAAGAAACATACCTCACCAGAAAAGTTACATGCAGACTGATACATGCAGACTGAAAGTGAA